GTATTTACTATGTTTATAGAGTAAACAAACTGTATCAGTAAAAACTTTCTACTGTCTATTACTATGAAAAAAATATTAGAAATCCGGAATATTTCTTTTTCATATTCAAAAAATAAACTTTTTGAAACCCTTGCCGTACTTTTTGAAATTTTTGCCGTATATTCCATAGAGATGGGCTACTTATAGAGGAAAGAGGAGGTATGCACGACTCATGAAAAATTTACAAATAATGCATATAAACAAGACGTATAATGATACAATAACTTATAAAATGTGTTTATAAAGTTTTATGAAAGAATAAGAATGGCAAATATGTATATAAAGTAATAAATAATAATTACAATCTTCCTACATATATTACAAGTGTTATGACATGAGGTACATATTTCATATAATGTGTTCATTGCATTTAGTGCACTGAATTCAATCTGCGCACTTTGTATGCTGTGGGCATAAATCCCGCTCGCTAAAAATGCCGTATATCCCAAACAGGTGGGATACACAAAACAACAAACTAAACAAAGAATACGATAGCAAAGCACTTGTATTTTGCTACACAACATGCTTTACTATTCCACTACACGTATGTATCACAAAATAATCACCAAGTCTTTTACGCGCCCTACAATAATAACGCGCCCTACATAAAGTTTTATTTTATGTAAATTATAATTTATGATGGCGTTACTTATTACAGTGATAAATCGATTCAATTCACAATAATTTCATTAATATTAACAGTAAGAAACTGAAATCATTAACACAATATTAATTTAACATAATGTAACAGAGTAGTTATGGGAAAATTACTCTCACTCTTTCTATTTTTTTTTTACTTCTGCGACATAAATCCCAGCGCAGCGTATTTGCCGGAGTTATATGCTTCAGTAATTCACGATTCTTCATAGACAAATTACATATGAATATCATCCGATATCTTTCAACTTTGAACAAATCGATTAATTGATGCGTTCGAAAACTGATAAAAGATATCTAATGACATTTGTATGTAATATATCGATGATATGCCTCGTCAAATTACCATTATTGTATCAGTATTATTTGGAAATTTGATTCTTTGTCAATAAATATATTCTGATGTTTTCAATTAGTTATCGAATATACTCGTATTAATAATTAATATATAAACATCAAATAATAGATGCTTTTTAGCAACAGAGCTTTTTAGCAACAATCATACACTGCATGATGCAGTAATATCGATTTGTAGTTAAAATATTGCTTAGCTTTTTTATTTTATTTAAATGAAAACTAAAATGAAAATTATATTTCATATAATACATCTATATCCGAATATATGTCGAATGTAATCTCGAAATTTTTCATTACTTTTAGAAAAATAAATGAAATGTAAAAATTTGATATTTGTAAAGTGATATAAAAAAACGATAGTCGAACGCAACATTTTAACTGTATATGGTTGTGTCGACTTGTGTCATAATTAGAAAACACGGAATCGTACACTGTTACACAGTGTTGCCTGTGTACGTTGCTGAAAAACATTAATATTGATATACAAATATAAAGTGATATTTGTAAATAATTTGTGAATATTGCAATTTTTTAGTTTGTGAACAATTTATGTCATATAACTGTACTCCAAATGTTTATTCCGCGAGTATGATGTGGATTAGAATTTTCAACATACTGAAAGTAGCATATAATATATTATGAAACGTAACACATAATACAAACTAAGGATTATATTTTCCTCAAAGAGTTTAATGTATTAGATTCTAAACACTTTTTGCCAAAGCATCCAAATAAATTTTGATTTTAGTGGAAGACCGATTAATTTTTAAATTATCGAAAAAAGTAAGCGATTTATAAGAAAAATCAATATATTGTTTGATTAAAATGATACACATCACTTGAGAAATTTTGAATTTAAAGCGATAATTGTAAGAAAACCCTTAATACATCAACGACTATATTCTCGCTTTTGAGGATCAGCGCGCAATTACTCGCATTCAAGAAGTCCCAGAACATCTCGGTACACTTTTCACTCGATGTCACACGACGGCGTCAGCGAGATTCGGAAATAAGTTCGCCAATTTCATGGTATCAGCTTCGTCTTCTCACCGTCGTATTTACTGAGCTGAAAGGCAAGTCTTCCAAGCGACTCTTCCGCTCGAAGAAACGGACTTAGATATGTTAAAGGTGACGATGTGAAATTCGCGCGGTTATGGCAAATTTTGTACTTGAAATTAATACATTGTATGCAATACAATGCAATGTAACGTAAACAAAACTGATCAGGATTGAAATAATCTTCTTCTTTATTATGGATAATATCCCAACGCATATCTCTCTCTCTCTCTCTCTCTCTCTCTCTCTCTCAACATAAAAATTTATTAGATGTCTCTCACCGATTGTCACGTCTGGCACGATTCGGCGTGCCCACCTTGGGCTCCTCCATGTAAAAAACTACATCGCCCTCGTTCTCAAGACGTTGATTGTCGTTCAGGCCAGTCCCAGCACCAGCTGATATGCCACCCGATATCGTGACGGGCGGCAGAGCCGGCTGTTGCTGCTGCTGGACGTCCATTCGGTTCCGCGATTTCCGCCTCTTCAGCACACTCGCCTTCTTTGCCACCTGGATCATCAGAGACTGAACCCCCGGTGCCCTCCCATTACAACACACATCGAACACAACATGCACTATCCCTACTGGCCAGACACTCGGCCCCTTTCTCTCTCTTTCTTTCTTTTCTTATTTTTTTTTTTTATTTATCTTTCTCAAATTGATGAGCCCATCATCAACGTCATCGTCGTTATTTTGCGGAAAATATGTACAACAGCAACGATTTCTTCCATGAAATGCTCAGAAAGCGATCTATGGAAAATTACGTCGATCGCAAGCCTATGTCGTTTATGACATCCTTTCAGCTTCAAAAAAACAACTCAATCCATATATAACAAAATTCCAAGCGCACAAATATGCCGAGCATGTTACATATAATAAATTTTTCTTCTCAGGACTTTATTTTAATTACAGAACATTTTTTAAAATACTTGGATAAATCATACTAATAATACCGACGAAAACGTTCTACGTGGATATGCGTCTTTTATTCAGGAGAAATCTATTCTTTTTGAAATACATTTGCGTAAACGTTCTAAGAGTAGTATCTTGACATTAAACACATTTTTAAGCATTCGAAATCTCTCCGTAATACTGTACATTTTTCGTACAAAGAATTGTCAAGCTACACGGCCGACGTAAGTTCCCATTTTTATGTCATGAATTCGCGAGCAAGATTTCAAGTCCTCTGAAGATGCGGAGACAAGAAGTAATATGTAGGCATACACATATATATACATACATATATATACATATATATGTACGTAATTCAGGCTCATGCATGTTATAAAATATCTCTAAGTAATGTGAAGTTGCTTTCCACGAGACACTAATCACTATCTTTAGAGAAAAAGAATATATTATATATAGAATATAAGAATACACATACATAAGCTGGGAATACGTAAACACGATTAAATAAACGATTACATTGTTTCTTCATAAGCAAAAACTTTAAGAAGCTTACGCAAAGCCTCGTTCGTTCGAAAAGTAACTTGTACGAACGCGCAGGTAGATTGCCTCGTTAGTTAAAAAAAAAAAACAAAAAATTCAGTATCTTAGTTGGAATTTACAGTTTCAATATTAAAAAGAAAAAGCAATGATATTTCAAATAAATGGACAGTTCGTACAACATTAAATTTAATAAGCGTAATGGTTTCGTAAAAGTTGTTGTTATTTCCTTTTTCGCTTGAAAATTCGAAAATCTTTAATAACGATGAATATTCAAATCCAAATTCCCGACGCAAATTTCGATTCTTGTGGTAGCAATGTGAAATATATATTTTTTAATATGCTATATTTTACATTCAGCAGGTGAGTACAGTGATCTCGACTTACATAATATAAAAAATAAGACATTTCATGTCTTGTAATAGAAACGTGTAAAGAAATGTGATAAAAAGTTTAGGGAAAAATAAACATGCAAAAGTCTCAGGATATGAACTTCTTATTGTACTGAATATTAAGTAATAATTATTTAACGAATTGCCGCTACAATTTCCTTTCAGCTATAACAAAAAAAGTAAAAGTAAAAAATCTCGATTTTAATTCTAAATTATTCGGGATAATGTAGCGAATAAAAATAAAATAAAAATTCATTTCAATAGGAAAATAATTTGTTAAAATAGGAAAAATGATAATTATTATTTGGAGAAGTTCGTATAGTCGTATATGATAGTTCCGTAAATCAATATTACGTTCTGAGGATTAAATACTAAATGCAACCACGATGGCACATTTGCGCAGACTTGATGTCTTTATTACAATTAAGCGTGCAGCAAGAAAGTACGGTTCCCGTAATAGCAATATGAAATATATTTTTTTTCATGTACTACATTCTACATTATGTAAATATGTATTTTTTAATATGCTGTATTTTATTTTACATTCAGCAGGTGAATGCAGTGATCCCGACTTACATAATATAAAAAATAAGGCATTTCACGTCGTGTAACAGAAACGTGTAAAGAAATGTGATAAAAAGTTCAGAAAAAAATAAACATGCAAAAGAGAGTAAGAATGAAAATAAATATAAACCATTTTTTTTTACATACCATCTTCTTTACACAAATCAACTGAAATATATTTAAGGTATATTTTATCATTGTTAAATTATCACTGAGCGTTCTTTCTATTTCTTTTAAATACGCAAAATCGATGCTCGCGCGCGTACGTATAGTATCTGCGCAGTTTTGAAAGAAACGGAGATTGAAAATTTTGGCAGCAGATGCAAAATGGAGATACCGTTCCTATGAAATTAACCGTTTCGTGTTAATTGAGCGTACACTTGAAATGTGCCGATAAACTGTTTTATTCCATTCGATTTTCTTGCGAACTTTCTTGTTGAGGAATGTATCATTAAATTAATATTGTAGTAGCTGTAAACATATGTCTCAAAAATATGTATATATACATTTCCCATTGAATAAGCAATTTTTATGGCAAGTTTTTCTAACTTTATACACAGATACAAAAATGGAACTAGCCATAATAATTGCGAGTAAAATGAAAATCAAATAGCCTTGTACGGAAAAATCAAATGCAATGCTAAAAAATACCGCATCCGTTATTTGATTCATGTTTAAAAGCAATTTATCCAAGGATGACAACTACTGCAGTTCTCAAGCGATTGCGTTTAAAATATAAATTTAATTAAAAAAAAAAGAATGTTACGAAGATAGATGATAAAATTCGCTGATGATAAAATTCGTTGACTGATTTTTTATGAAATTTGTATCTGCGTAGCACGGCGAGTCAATCGATGTATTGTTGAAGCAATGACATTTGCAATTTATATAGTAACTAAAAAAATAAAGATATAAAGTTATAGAGTCCGAATGTATGACTATGTGAATATCAAAAGTTTGCTGACTGGTATTTTATGAAATTAACTGACAATTTTATATGAAAAAAACTACGTTCAAAAACGAATGTAAAATAAACGTTAAAGTATTCTAATGGATATCTGCATACATTTTATGTGCTCAGCATTCCAACTAATAAACGATGTTATTATTGAAACTGTAAGGTATATACATATTCAAAGTCAATCCATTAACAAACATTTCGTTAAAGAGATTGTCCATGATATGTACTACATAATAAAATTAAACAAACAAATTAAACTAATGAATAACAAAAGCGTAACTTTCATTATTTCGTATGTAAGGAGGGATAATGTACAGAAGCCTCTAGCGCATCTTTAATTACATAAACACACGTATGTGACTAGCAACAGAAGGAGAAAACAAAATCATTCGGATTTCAGCGGTAAATAACGGCACATTGAAAACATCGAGCAAAAAATTCGCATTCTCCGCTTGCATCCATCCACTGCCAAATTATCATCGGACAAGTAATAATGTAAAAGTACATGGCCGTCACACATAGTTGTCGCTATTACACAATACTGGGATTTATTAGAGTGGTAAATAATTAATAAAAAATAATATTAGACAGCGAAATTCCTTCGCGAATCCCATCCTTATACGTTAAATTCAGAAATTTTTCGGGTCTGAAAACGTGAAGAATTTAATTTAATCTTAAGTGTTTTAAGCAAATACGTTAATCTCTCATTTTCATGACAATCTGGTATTTCTACGTATATTTAAAATTTGATAATTTATAAATATTGATTAGTATAATTTATTTAAATCAATTAAAACTAATTAAAAACATTAATACCAAACCGGTAATTCAAAATGTTTCATTACTTTTAACAAAAAATAAAAAAATCTTTATCTCACTAGAACTTGCCTAATTGTTGAATTTGGATTCGATTATACAGCGTAAGGCCCAATATAATAATAACTCATTCACTTTTAACGAAACATTCAATAATTTATATATAAGTTATAAATTTTAAAAAACAATCTTTTTCTCGTTATACTTTCAAGTTGTTTCACGTTTATTTGCGCGATAAATCGACACAAAGCAAATTTTTGATTTCTCACAATCCGCTTAGAGCATAACGACCAAGTCCCCTGCGACTCAACGGTATTAGTTGACAATCCACTCGCGCGTGGAAACGCAATCGCGGTAAAAGTCGAGAGATCGTGGCAGCAATTAACGTGGATACGATATCAGTGTAATTCCAGATCCATTAGCGTTCTCGGCTGCGCGCGCGCATCGACCGAATCGCGAACAAGATTGGACGGGTGAAGAGACTGGGGAAAAAACATTTTTCGCGCCTATTTCAATAAGGTGATTACGTGATTCGCAACGGATTAGCGTCTGTCTTGACATGTAAATGTCACGTAGTAATCGCTCGCGGCACTCGGTCAGTTAGAACGTTCAAGAACATTGTGTAAGCAGCTAAGAACATCAACAGTCAACAGCTAAAATACGGCTATGGCGCTTCGATTTTCGCTAAACTAGCAAATGAGAAACTTTACCTTGCCCAAGGGCGTTGACGGCTGACCGGCCGGCGACGGATCCTTGATGTAGATATTCCACGTAGCGACGCTGTTGATGGCCTTATCGGCGGCGTAACACCTCCATAGGCACTGTATCAACATCGCAGCAGCTGGTATTTGCCGATTGAAGTGCTTTTGCCGTTGCTTTTGTTGTACCTTCAGCGCGAAGCCGGAACCTAGAATACCCTGAAAAAGAAATGCGAAAACACCAATTCACGAGACACAATAACAGTCTGATCGTGCTCAATTGTTTCGATTTCTTGTACAGAGATAGACAAATACAAAATTGAAGTTTGAGTTCTTCAGTCAATATTTCCTTTCCAAAAATATCGTAAAACTTGTAGCTTACGAATTACAAGCGATGCAAGATAGAATCCTTGAGAATTCGTATATTCAAAAAGAAAACAAATACAACATAAAAGATTCATATTTCTTAATTTTTAATAAATTTGAATTAACTTCAAATTTATGATTTGACTGCAAAGATATTAATTACGGGAGATTGATTCGATATATTAGTTAAAGAATCTATAAACAACAAGTAACTGTAAGTACAAGGCATTCTGTATATTATAAAAGAAAAAGAGAACAATTCTTTGTAGTAATGTACTTACTGCTGGAAGTGCGAAAAAGGATATAGCAAACACGCTGAAACATGAGGCCACTATTTTTCCCATCCACGTTTGCGGGACTGTATCACCGTAACCTATCGTTGTTACTGTGATCTGTAATATATCGAAAAACGTCAAATACTCTTAATATATATGGAATTACACTGTACACACAATGTCACATTCATAATGATATTGACGATGAATTTAATGTGAAGAGTTTTACCGCATGACACACCATTGACATAATTTGTAAACCCGCAAAATATAATTAATTATACCTATTAATTAGCATATATTACACCCCAATAAGCAATTTGTGCTGCATGTATAAATAGTGCTGCAATTTGCATTGCGACGCAATGCAAGCATTGATATCAATATCGACATCGACATCAATTCATATCGCTTTGTTCGTTGAAATGTATCATTATAATCATGGTGAAAATATACTTCCACTATGGTTAAAGTGATAGTAGAGAACGACACGTAACTGTCGTAGTTATAAGGTTAAGCAGAGAAAAACTTATACGTAGGCATAAAAAAGCTATTGTGTTACGTATTACGTATACGTTTTTCTCTGTCTTACCTTACATCTATAATTCTATAACTATGACAGTTATGCCTCGTTCTCTATCACCAGTAAATTGCGAATCGTTAAAGTTGTTTAAAAAAAATAATCCGTCATCACATTATCGTTCTTGAATTATTTCCACAATTTTTTACATGACTAATAAATCACACATTCGTTTTTACATCGTTTTCTTTCATAGAATTGATTTATTACATTTTATTCTTACATTTAAATTGCACTTTTAATGATTTGGCAGGAAATAATACAAAATCTATTCATATCGATTTTTTAATTATCAAGTACGAGTAAAAACACATAGATTTGCAATTAGATAATGAAGTTAGCGTAGAAAGGGAAAGATATATAATTTAAAAATACAACATTTATAATTAAAAAAAAAACAGAAATAAAACGTATAATTGATTCGTACAAGTTATTTAGAAGTCTCTCTACATTTTATATTAAAATTACAAATAAATAAAACATGTAAATGTAGAGAGATGTTATAGAAAATACACAAATCGTTAAAATAATCAGTAACAAGAGACGGACTCACCACTCCCCACCAAAGCGCATCGGCGTAACTCGCGAAGTCTGTTTTGCCGTCCGGTCCAACTGCATCTTTTTCGGCAAGATATACGAAATAGCTGCTGAAAATGAGGCCTAGGAATCCAATGTACAGTGTTGTAATCAACTCCTGTTGAATAAGAAAAATAAAAAATGTCTCTTGCAACTATTAATACCAAAATTTCATGTGAGTATGTTTGTATCTTTTTGTAAAATGTACATAAATGTAGAAATTGTTATATATTTCCATCCCCACAAAGGTGTTTACACACAGGTATACACTTCCCTGCTTACAAATAGTTAACTTAAAGTCATTGCTAAGATCAACTTCTTGCGTATTTTGGCAATTTTCGAGATATATTCGCGATAATTGGTGATATACCTGACGATGTATGAAAACCACGGAACCCAGAAGCCGCCACGTACCACCTTGACGATCGACGTGAAGCATTCGCAGAATCTGCAAAAACCGAATGCCTCTGATGGCAGAAGTGGCGAATACCTGACCATTGCTTCCTACTGACAAGACTACCATGGACGCTACTACGACAATTAAATCTGAAAAGAAAAAATGAAAAGAGTACCTTATGATAAATACAAAAAAAAAACACAATCGCGATAAATTCGCGAACGTATCTAATATATGTATATCATTATAAATAGGGTAATCTTTATATTGTTATGTCGATTAAATATAGTATAATACACACATGCACACGCAATATCTATTTATCTTAATACACACTCATTTACAAAATACACATATTTATTCTAATATGTATAATATATATGTATTAAAATAAATAATTTTTGGATATCGATTAAGTATGCATATAATCGGCAGCAATTAATATATGTAAAGCGTGTAATCCGATTAATGTCTTATCCGGCGTTACTATTTATCTGCAAGATACGTCGACAATGTACATTGTTAACGATTAAAAACAATTCTCTTTCCATCACGCGTTATGAAATTGCTGGAATAGATGTAATCTCAGCAATTCTGCGGCTGGCCTGTTAATAATAATATTCCATTTTCTACATTGCGGACATTTACTGTTCTGCATTTACAGACGAAATAAAGTAAAATACGGTACATTCTCTCTCTCAATTATTTGAGATTACTGCTGGAGAAAAGATATGCGCGAGATAAAAAAAAAACATAAATACTTAATCCGGCAGGTTCTACTTATCACGCAGACAACAATAAACCACGTAAAATAAATTTAGCGCCGAGACACTACCGTATCTTCAGTTTCGAAAAAACACAACTAATTCAAATTGATTTACCGCAAATTGCAGATACACGAATTATTGGATAATAATAAGGAAATTTAGATGGCGAAAGTCTTGTTCTGATATAATCTTTAATAATTCTGATAATATCTACAAACATAGAGATAATTAAATTTATACAATTAATATATACGGAAATTGATTGGATCAGCAGTTCGCTTTTCAGATAATATTAGGAAAAAAAAAATAAACTCGTTTATTTTATTCTTTCTGTTTTTACTGTTAAGCTTTCAATCACGCATTTGTTGTCAACGTAATAACAAAGTTTACGAAATAGAAACTAGGTAATCAATTTTAGGCGAGTCTTCAATTAAGGGAGAAATTTCAATGTTCACATGTGTTTCATTTGTAAAACGCGTCTGACAGAATGATGATTGCGATACAAAGCGCCAATCTTGATTTTAGTAAAATGGATTCGATATTAAGGCCAGCGTTTAATATCACAAAGTTGGTCAATAGCAACGGTCACAAACGATCCCATACTGCAAACAATACGAAACAAAGGGACGATTATCAAGATCCTATTTTGCGTCAATCGAACAATGCAAATATCAGATTAATTTTGGCTGTATTAAGGTTTGGCCGTGTCGTGGCTCATTGTTAGGAGAAAACGAGCAACAACTCACCTATGATACAAATCGGTTTCCGTATGAATCGTAGCCGTCCACAGCAGCCCATATACTTCGATCTGCAGCCCGCGCTCCATAATCGAACCAAATATTCAACTCCAAAGAACACCACGAGACATATTTCCTGAATAGTAATGAAGTGTAAGTGATCTCCCAACCTTGAACTTGATACTAAAGCCGGTACTCGTAATCGGTTATTGTTTTAAAACTGTCTTATGTAAAGTCTTAAGATGCTAATACGGCTCTATTATCGACTTATGACATCTCAAGACTATACTTAAGTAGGTCTTAAATATAAGAATCGACTATGAATATCGATTTAATTGAATTCATAGCAATCGTGACAAAATCGGCAATTATATATCCAACGTCGGTGAGAAAATATAACAGAATAATTTTATAGATTAATATAGACGTTAGCTAATTCATTTCTAAAGTAAATATACAAAGAACGCGGTAACACTTGAATAGAGTTGGCTATTGTATCGATTGTACTAACGCTGTTGTATGAACGGGATGCCCTAGAAAAACGAGGATGTCGACGTTAGAACTGCAACAAAGTGGGCGAGATCCTTGAGAACTGGCTTATACTATATTCTTTTATGATACAGAACATTGACGAGCTTCGTGCTTTATGCACGCTTATTTTCTTCGCGTTCGCATGGAAAAAGGTGAGAAAGAATCGCGAGCAAAGATTTTTACAATATTGAATACCGATTTATGAACGACATTTGTACCGACGATAGTCGTAGTTTGACGTGTAAACCTTCACAGAGTTTTCACTCTTTAAAAGATGAGAGGGAGGATTAATTTATTTATGCAACCTCGACGGTGATAAAAGAAGAGAAAAAGTTTGTCGTCAAGAACTGTTGTAAAGTCTACTCTCGGGCGAATCAACAAATTTGAAGTGTTCTTTTCGAAGACTAATTAAATGAGGTTTGCTTTAACTTTCTTAAGGAACGTTACAAACCTTTGTTTATGAATTCCTAATCATTCTCAGTATTTAACGTTTCGTACTTGGAAAGTACAATGACAAATAAATGGTGGTATTCTATCAGATGCACTTAATTCTTCCCTCGAGACGAGAGAGAGAGAGAGAGAAACATTACGTTGGATTTTAAGCTTGAATAGAAAAGCATATAGAATAGGCAGAAATATACACCAAGAATAATAGAGATACAATAATTGAAATTCTATTACAAAAATAAAAAAAAAAGATAATTTGCAAAACGCTTGAACCGATATTTTTATCGAGTTTTTAATTCCAATATATATGTACAAATACTATAGAAATATTAAGTATAACAAATATTCTCAATTGCGACAAATGGATGGTTTAATTTGTTTCAATATTAAAAAAAAGATTGCACATTAATCAAAAAACTTTTAGATAAAAGATAGTTCGTTAAAAATCTGTACGCATACTTTATATACATCAAACGTATGTTTTTTTTCCTTTGCACTGGAGGCAAAGGAAAGTACAATCAATGTGGTTGCGATAGAATACTTTTAATTTAGCAGTTCTGCAGTATTTCTTGAAATAGTGTTATTGACATTATTTGATGCAGAGATGCTTTTAATATCCTATCCAGTTATACGCTATATATTATTGTACTTAATAATGAATACGAGCTACTCACCATCCAAAACAGAGTTTCGTTTGCGAAGTTACTGTATTGATCTATCGTTGACAAAACGCTAAATATGAGGCACACCAATACCACCATGAACCTGAAAAGAAAGATATATAATGATGTATGTATATGGCAAACCTTAATTAGAATCTAGTACAGTTATAAAATTCCAATCAGATAAATGATTGATTAGATTAATTCATTAGAACACGTGGGCGTGTCATATATGTACATTAAAATCAGATTTACATCTAAAGCGACTTCAGGGTCTTGATCTAACTCTCTATCATGTAACAAATACAGAATCAAAACATGATTCAATCTTAAAGTTTCACCTGAAGTAGCGATTTGATTTATTAAAAGCATGGACTGTATGTTACAATTAAATGCACATTTAATATAATTAAAATATAATTCTTTAGATTCTTATTAAATTCAACTGCCATTTTCTTTCTTCAGCTTTCGGCTGATAATTTTCGTACTATTGAAAATAATATAAAATTGTTGGATGATTTGTTGATACGTTTGCTCTTGCTGATTACGCTTAATCACTAAAAAAGTAGATGCTCTTAAATAATATTTTTTCAGTTTTAAATCTTTATAAATATAGGTCTGTATTCAGAATGCGTTTTTATCGATAAAAGCGCGCTTTTATCGATAAAAATGCGCTTTTATCTCCGAATTTCTATAATATGCATAATGTAAAGTATAGCGCGCTAACATCGTTGTAAGCGCGTTCTGAATACCGACCATGGAATCTAATTTCTCATATGAATACATGAGATGCAATCACGGTAACATAAACATATGATATTAGAAATAATCTTAGCAAAATAAACTGAAAAGAGATACAATAATTTTAGGGTCAATCTTCTCGTAAAGTAAAAAAAGTTTATCGCATTACAACTTGCGTTTATTTAACCTCTACTCTTATTAGCCTTAAATTCCTTCATTTATAAAGAGTTTTAAGAATTGAAAGTCCGTATCTTATTGTTACGTTTTAAATTATAATTAAAACATATATATTGTACATAATATATTATGCATAAAATTTGTATTAATAAAGCTTTATTAATGATAATCCAGATCAGTATTAAACTTCTGTGATAATTATAATACCATTGGTAATTATAATACGCTTAAACTATCGATATTATACAACAAATCCAACATATTATAATGTAACAAATATTCAATGATCAAAATGCGACATAAATTACATTATTATATTTCTTGACTATATATTACATATATTACAAATTGACTATGTATGATGTTTCAGTTTCTGCGTTAGCAGAACTAAAACTTTACTTTATTGTTAATTCCAACTCTGAATAATAAAAGTGCTGCTAAGGTTACTTAAATTACTTAAATTCTTCCACTAGAATAAACTATTCCTTAAACTATTGTGTCACCTGAGTCTAAACTGACAAATTACTTGACAAACTTACACAGACATGATACTGGACATACACTTTACTGATTACTGGGAAAGTATAACTTTATACTTAAACTTGTAAGAGAATGTTATTATATTTTA